TATCTATCTATCTATCTATCTATCTATCTATCTATCTATCTATCTATCTATCTTTGGTTATTCGGGTTTTCTCCCGCGTAAAATTGGAAGTGTCTTGGCGACATTTCGACGAAGTCTCATTCGTCATCTTCAGGCTTTGTGCTTCCAGGAGCAATGTGAGATCTCGGCTGTTTCTTCCTTTTAACTGCCCGTGGGGGTTTGAAATTACCCACCCAATCAGCTCAAACCCCCACTGGCAGTTAAAAGGAAGAAACAGCCGAGATCTCACATTGCTCCTGGAAGCACAAAGCCTGAAGATGACGAATGAGACTTCGTTGAAATGTCGCCAAGACACTTCCAATTTTACGCGGGAGAAAACCCGAATAACCAAAAACCTACATACTAACACCCGCGAAAACCTCAGAAAACATATATAGATACAGATATAGATACATACATATATACATATATAGCTATATATTGATATAAAATTCATAGATAGATATAGATATAGATAGATAAAATGTATTCCAATTTCCATTTTAAATTGTATTTTATCCAATTCCATTTTAAATTGTTTTTTTAAATCAGGTTATAGTAATATTTGTGTCTGGAACTCTGCATTCTGATATGGCCCAAGGACTAATCAATAAAGTAAACTAACTAACTATTCTGCTATAGAAATTTACAGTTCCCAAAGGAAGCATTTTTTTAACAGGATATACATTCTAATGCAGTATTTCTCAACCTCAGCAATGTTAAAATGTGAACCTTAACTCCCAGAATTCCCCACCCAGGATGCTTTCTGGGAGTTTTAGTCCACATATCTTAATGTTGTTGAGGATGAGAAAGACTTGCTATAGTGCAAGGGTGTCAAACTGGATTTCTTCGAGGGCCAGATCAGCATTGAAGTTCTCCCCTGCGGGCTGGCCGGGAACAGCCATTCCCTTCTGAGCAAAGGCAGCCTTAGAAGAGTTCTAGTGTTTACATGTAGATTTCCCAAGTAATTTGTAATGAATCATAAATCTAATTGTTTGATTGTTCTGACCACAACATATTTTTCCACCTACGTCAGACTGTTGAAACCAATAAAAGAAAGAAAACATAAAAAATGGAGTTTTTTGAGAGATACTTAAATCTTTGGCCCCCACTCTGGTGCAGAAATCAAATTTCTAGATTTGGAGTGTGCTGAAGTGGATGCTAAAACGGACAGGAGGGCTTGCTAAACGTGATTTATCTTTTGCATTTGACTACTAGATCTTACTGTTTTAATTAAAAAAATTAGCTCGATATTTGCCTTTGTCTTGCTTCAAAGCAGAATTGGGTAATTTTTTGTTGGTAAGTGGTGACATTATTCAATGAAATTTATGGTTGATTAGGGATTGCAGGAAGCAGAGCATTGCATAACACTGTTCTTTTGGTGAGTACTCTTAACAGATTACACAGCTCATTAGAGTTGGAAGGGACCTTGTAGGTCATTTAGTCCAACCCCCCCCCCAAGCAGAAGACCCTACATCATTTCTGACAAATGGCAGTCCAGTTTCTTCTTAAAAGCTTCCAGTGATGAAGCTCCCACAACTTCTGAAGGGAACTTTTGTTCCAGGGTTGATTGTCTCACTATCAGAAAATTTCTCCTTATTTCCAGGTTGAATCTCTCCTTGATCAGCTTCCATCCATTATCTGGCCTTCAGGTGCCTTGTAAAATAGCTTGACCCCCTCCTCTCTGTGGCAGCCCCTCAAATAACTGCTATCATGTCTCTCTTGGTCCTTCTCTCCACTACACTAGCCATACAAGTACTTGCAACCGTTCTTCATATATTTTAGCCTCCAGTCCCCTAAACATCCTGGTTGCTCTTCTCTACACTCTTTCTCGAGTGTCAACATCTTTTTTTATAGTGTGGTGACCAAAACTGGATGCAGTAACCATGAATAGTACAGGTAGCCTTGATTTTTTGGAACTTGTTATTTTGATTCCTGAATAAATGTTCATTTTTCTTTCCTACTTGCAAGCTTCCATGGGGGAGAAAGTAAGAATTTCCCTTTCTACCAACTTTCCTTCCATTTAGGTAGAAATGGCAAGATTTGCAGGCCAAAGGCTGTTTTCCTTGATAACACTGTCCCCCTAATTGATTTGGGATTGCTAAAATTTATCAGCACAATGGACACAGTTAACTTTCCACAAATCCTTCCCAAAAGGCACAAAATATTTCTGCTCGTCCAATCATATTACAGTGTTAAAGATACACATCTTTAGAGCTGCAAATAATTTTTTTTTTATAAAAAAATGCGGCTTCCAGTCTATAATAGATTATCTCCTTCTGGTTTACAGCTTAAAAAGTAATTACCAGATTTTTGAATTAAAGAATATTAGTAGGCCTTTAGCGCCGTTCTTATCTCAGGAAAGGAGTCAGTTTCTAGCTTTCTTAAGATGAAAAATGTCTCTCTCTTGATCTTGTTTGTCCTTGGTGAAATGCCAGTTTTATTTTGCCAGAGAGCCTCCTTAATTTCACTTTCCACTTCAGTGCTGGTGAGTCAGATTTTGTCCCTGGACTCGCTAACTCGCTATTTGAAAGATGACAGAGGTGCACTAAGCTGATGGCTTTGGGAAGTTCTTCCAAAGTTTATTAAATAAAGTCTGCAGCACATCTGCTGCTTAGGTGGATATATAATTGAGCAAAAAGAGGCCAATTTACTGCTTATTCCTCAATTCTGTAACCGATCTGCGGTACAGGGGCAGATCCCAAAGGTTCTTCTCTTGTTCTTTCTCCCTCAATGTTTCATTTTCCTCCCCCAGATTAATTTTGCTGCCTTTTAAAATCAGTAATGGCTGTTTACATAAGTCAACACCTCTGCATTTGTACATCATTTTATCCTTTCATTAAGTAGTATATTAAGCTGTATGTGGCAACTGTTAGATAAAAAAGAATTGACAGGACTCATGATCAAGAGATAAAACTCTAATAATAGAATATTGACAGTGAACTGATTTCCTCCATCCTCCCTCCCTCCCTCCCATCCATCATTCTATTTATCTGAATGTCTGTCTGTCTGTCTGTCTGTCTGTCTGTCTNGCCCCCTACAGTTGGGAATGACTAGCAAATATGTGTGAGGGGAACCTTTACTTTTACCTTAAGGATGGTGTAAATTACTGACAACAGAACCAGCATGGAAAACAGGCATCTCTTGCAAAGGGCTGTCGTCAGCCTGTATTAGGTTAATTTCAGTCTTCCTCCAGGAACTGCAGAGGCAATTCAGATGGATTTCCTCATTCCTAGTGTCCACTTTGTCTTCACAACAGCCCCGAGAGGGAGGCTGAGAGAGAACAAGGGAACCAAAGCCATCCAGTTAGCCAGCATTTGAGGTCACTTAGAGATAGCCTTCACTTCTAGTCTGATGCCTGGTTGGGAAAACTGAAGATAATTTTAATACATTTTACCATATTTTTTGGAGTATAAGACGCACCTTCCCCCCCTAAAAGAGGGCAAAAATTTGGATGCATCTTATACACTGAATGTAGCCCCACCCACCCACTGGCCCTCACCCTTTGGCCTCTGCCTCCCAGCAATTTACCTCCTTGCAGCAAACGGGGAAAATGGGCAGTGGTGAAATTCAATTTTTTTTTTACTACCGGTTCTGTGGGCGGGACATGGTGGATGTGGTGTGGCTTGGTGGGAGTGGCAGAGTCCTGCAAAATCTCCATCCCCACCCCACACTGGGGCCAGCCAGAGGGGGCATTTGCAGGTTCTTCAAGCTACTCAAAACTTCCGCTACCGCTTCTCCAGAACCTGCTGGATTTCACCCCTGAAAATGGGGCTTGCGGAGGCGGCAATAGGCTATGGTAATCCCTTAAGCCTGAAACAGCTGATGATCGGGAGGCCCATGTTGAAATTGAAAGTGAAACTTGCTGTTTGCTTCCCGAGGCATATTGCTAGGAGGCAGAGGCAAAAAAAAATTTCTTGTGCTAATCAGGCTGTTTGCTATAAGGAGGTAAGTCAATAACTATAACTGCCTATAGAATGTTCAAATTATTAGACTTATTTTTTTAAGACTGCTTTATTATTGTTCTAGACAGCTTAATAAAATGAAGAAGCTTTTTAAAATAAATGCTTGATCTGAAGAGGCCCAGTGCTATTGTATCATCCTTTAAATAGCAGAGAATTAACTATCCTTCCAGAAAGCCACATCAATTTTAACAGCATCTGCACAAGTATAGCCTGAAATGTAAAACTACAA